AAAATATATAAAATATTTATTAAAATAAATATGAATATATTAAATATATTTTATATATATTTTGAATGTTAAATAATCAAAAAAACCTACAACTGTACTTATAAGTTAGTATTGTCAAGCTAAACCTTTGTTTTTATTTTTTAAATTACATTTGATATAATTAATTTTTATTTTATATCATTTTGTATTTGTATGAATTTTTTAAAAATTATTTTAGTAAAAATTATTATTTTTTACTTTATACAACATTCTTTCATAAAAAGTTTTATTTGGTTTAATTATTGTCACGTTCAAAACCCAAATCCGAGATGTGACAGACGTCGTACACTTGTGAGGGGATCCCATAAATGCATAAGGCTCAAAATTTATCCAATTCACATCTGACAATCCAATAACTTAAATCAAACATCTCAATTTATTTCTATATCCAAAATGACTTAAATCCAAATAATTGATCTAATGACCGAAATCTGTTTTGATCTCATAAATTCAAGGTAAAATCTATCTTACAAAAGCATGATTTATTTCTAAAATCTATATCAATCTTGAAATGGTTAGCATTCTAACTCGTTACTTCCCGTGGTTTCTCCGTTCTCGATTTCGCTTCTTGAAATGATAGACAAGGAAAACTATGAGATAAACTCAGTAAGTAAAATATGGAGTGCCCTTAATTAAACTTATAACATACCAACAAGTGTAATCACAAAAAACAATTACAGTGCGAGAACGAAATAGACGTCTCCTCTATAGGTCATGACCAGTGTTATAAACCTCCCACTAGCAGGCTACAATATTTGTTGGTGTATAATCCCCACTAGCAAGGTCACTCGTACGAACCGGTTCTATCAATAACATGTCGACATGTGCTAGCATTTAACCCCCACTAGCAGGGTCATCAATAACATAACCACATCGGAGATAAAACAGGCAGAAGTTAACAGAAAAATCATAATTCACCAATCACTTTCAAATTATCAAGACAATCAATTAAATTTCAAGTAGGTATGCTCAATTTAATGAAAAGCATAAAAATTTCACTTCAAATCAGTCATACTTACTTTTGCATAAAACAGGTTTAGTCCTGTCACCATTTCAAAAATAAGTTAAAAGATACTTTTAAAAACTGTACAGGTATTATCATAAATTTACTTACCTCACTCACTTAAAACCAAAGACTGGATCTCAGTGCTAAATTGACAAAACGATTAGACCTAATCAAAACATCCAAAAATTACTACCCATATAAAACTACATACTTAATCATTTTTCTATTGTTACCGACAATTAACCCCATAAGGAAATTTTATTTCTTTTCTTTATTTATTTATTTCATCCAATTTTGGGTATCACAATCGGATTGTGTATATACAATCACACATATAAATGGTTTCCAATTCCACGGACAGCCATGGAGAAACCGAGCTTTGGCCAAAACAACAAGTCACGGAATGTCATAGGATTCTTCCACAATTAACATCATAGCAACCAACTCAAGCTAACCTCCACTTAAATTAAACAAAAACCCACTTAAAGCTACCAAAATTCATTCCACCTTCCAGCACAATTTCACCTAAATTTCTTCCATTTTCGGACAACAAAAAGGGCAATTCAAAAGCAGAAAATCCAATCAACACAAGGCAGCAACTACATGGATAATTTGGACTTGGAAGGGACGGCAACTTACCAGAATTTTCCGGCAAGCAAAAGCCGGGTCCGGCAAGCAAAAGCCGGGTCCGGCGAACATGGAAGCTAACGGGATTTTGGAGGGGATTTCACGGAACTACCAAAATTCAAGAACCAAAAATCGAAATTAGAGTAACCCAAGCCAAATTAAGAGAGAAAGGATGAATTTCATGGCTGTGGCTTACCCGAAAAAGCCCAGAAATCGCACCCAACAGAACAGCTCGTGGACAGGGGAAGGATAGAGCAGATCTGGGATTTTCTTGGGTTTAAAAAGAGTTCTAAGCCCCAAATCTTGTTATTTAACAAGAAAAGAAGAAGAAATCTCAAGCTTTGTCACCAATTTTTCTCAAAGGGGATGAGTCGGTGGCTTAGGGGAGCTTCGGTCGGCAAAGGAGAAGAAAAGAAGATGAAGAAGAGAAAAAACATGTGGCTGAGGACAAAAATATCAGCCTTGATCCTTATCCACATTTTTTCTCTTTAAGTCCCTCAACTTGAAAATTTTTGCTATTACATTCATTAATGATATTTCTTCACAAGTAGGTCCCTAACTCACTTTAATGCTCTAGAAATTTTGAGGTATTACAATTGTAAAATCAATTATGTTGAAAATAAAATAAATTAGGTTTGATAGGAGTAATTTTACTTTCATTTATTCTTATCATGTAATATGAAATACTCAATTTATTTATTTTTAGAAAATTTAGTTTAATTTTTTGACTTTTTTATATAAATTTTAAATGAAAATTTAGCATATTATATAATAATAATTTTAATTTTTTTAATCAAATTAAAGAACTAAACAAGAACTTTATTTAAGAAGAAAAATTTTTTCAATTATTATTCAAGTTATTGAATTTAGATTTGAAATTCATGTCCAAAAGGTAAAAAGTCGAATTTAGTCAAAAAAAAATGAACAGAGGGAGTGTATATATATATATATATATATATATTTATTCATCTTTTATTGCACTATAAGAAATAATCATTTTTCATCTCTTAACCTAACTCATCTATATATTATATAATTTAAACTCAAAATCTCTTATTTTTATATAAAAAAATTATCATTAAACTATTAACATTGTTGACCACATGGTATTGCTCCTTTTGGTCGGATTTATTTGTAACCGTTTAACTTTTACATAAGATTTAACCAAATAATTTTATATAGAAAGTACATGAGAATTAAAACTTTTTTCCTTTCTATACATAGTACTTGAGTATTTTTAGTTAAATTAAAAAAAAAAATTAACTATGATTCATTTATCATATAAAATCATCAAGTCAAATTTTATGTAAAAAACAAATTGAGACAACTAAATACAATAAGAGATAGTTATTATTAAAAGATTTCTTAAATTAATTTAAACTTGTTGAAACTAATTATTTAATATCAATTTCTTTTCTTAAATTGTGAAAAATCAAGACGCACTAGAAATTAAACTTTCACAAATAATAATGAAAACACTTAATATACTTAATAAATCAATATACAAAGAAAATTCATTAAGGATTGAACAATTTCAAGTCAATTAAAATGTTAGGAAATCCTTATTTTTACTTTTTCTTTTCTTTGTGTTTTATTTTATTATTTGTTTCTAATAAGAATTTTTTTTCTTTTAAAATATAAATATATTCTAATAATATGAGAAGCAAGTTAGATAATGCTAGTAAATGGTATAAAGAGAATAGAGTCAACTCTACCCTCTTCTTTTCTCTCTCTTTTCTTCTTTTATCTCTCTAAAATTAAGTTTGACTCTGTGTCAATTTTGTAAATACTTTATTTTTTAAAGGTATTTCGATGGATGAAAGTTTTAAATTGAGCAATGAAGATTAGTGTAATTTTTGTTAAAATTTTGTTTATTTTGTAAATACATTTTACTTAATTTATATCTTTTTTTATTTATATGGAAATTTTTTTTTTGTCTTCATTCTTTTGAAACTATTTTTCTTTTTTAATTTTGGATTGCATAATGGGAGGCAATCCCCTTTCATTCCTCAACCCATCCTGCTCATATATTATATGATTCAAATTCAATATCTTTTACTTTTAAGAAAAAAAGATTACCATTAAGTTACTTAAATTGTTGACTATTTTTCTTGTAGCTCTTTTTTTTTTGAATTTATATATTAGGCTCTAAAACTGCAATACTATTCATTTATATTATTCCTTTTAGGAATTATTAAATCAAAAAGAGTTTTACAATTAGAATTGTAAAACACTAACCCTTGGATGGAGGAGAGCCCCTTGTTATTGGAGGCTTTCTCGCATCTAGGGGTTCTTGTTCTACAATTCGAAACAACTTAGATTATAAAGCAACAAACTTTTATTAAATATAATATTAATTCATAGTTGGAATCAATTTTTAATTCTTTTTGTATTAAACCCCAATATTTGAAAGTCACATTAATTCTTAACTAATTTGAAATCAAATTAAGTCAGACCTTATAGGAGGGAAGCTTTTTGGGAGCATGTTTCTTCATTTATAAAATTCAAACTCGAAATCTTATTTAAGAGAAATTGAGTTCCTTTCACTCAAACCAATAGTTGATTCATTAGAATCAATTTTTAATTAATGAATATAAAAGTAATTGAAATATGTATTAATTTATTATAAGCAAATATTTGATTTTCACATCAATTAGAATTTTTTAAAATAAACACAATACAATAATACATCATATCTTCATTAATTTCTTTTATCTTGTAATTATAATTATTACTATTATATATGTCTTTTTTATCCAAATTTATCTCCTTTCTTTGCATGCCCATCTTAGATAGTTTTAATTCAAAATATAAGAGTAATAATTTATTTGTTATTATTCTTACTCATTTTATCCTCCCACTATATTATTATTTTTTACTCACTTATTGCACCTCTCATTATTTTTCACTACAAGAAAAATGATTTTTAGTGACAGAAATTTATGATAAATTTGTTACAATTGTGACAGATTTAAAAAAATAGTCACAGATGCATACATATTTAATAATGAACAAAAAAATTCATCATAAAAAATATATTTC